GTAAGGTTGCTCACCTTGTGCAAGGACCCCTTTTTGTGTCTGCCCATTTCTGTCTGAAAACCAGACAAGGCTGTCACTCCCTCCTTGCTTCCTAGTAGTCAATCCTTTAGGGAAGTCACTTCCACCTTCCTTCTCTGGCCCTAGGTCAGTCTTGGTCGTACCCACAGTTCTTCGGTCTCCTGCATTCCCAAATTCAGCTGCTACTCTGGAGCTGCCCTGAGTCCTCTTCTGGATATTGACTCCCAAACTTTTTTACTTGCGTTTTGCCCCATATTAGATCCAAGCCTCTCTTCCCACTTGTGTCCTGGGATCTTGACCCTTATATCTAGCAGAACTTCCATGAGGATATATGAACATGGATATAAATCCACCAGGATTTCAAGCAACTATTTTCCAGATATCTAGAATATACTTTTATGATGTGTCAGGTAATTTGAACCTATGTCAACTTGGGAGTGAGTTTTGTTCCCACAGGTCCCTTATGCGAACATTTTATTATAAATTCTAGATTTCATTTTAAAAAGCTCACTGACCCCTTGATGGGGAGACAGAATAGTAGGAAACTTTCTGAACACCATTTCCCTGGAACGAATAAAGATCAAAATGGACAAGAGACATGTCACTTCATCTTCTGATCTGGGGAAATGTTACTAAGAAAACATGGCACCAAAGGTGGGAGCAGAATCTTCGCCATCACAATCAATTCTAACTAGTAGATGGTCCTTTACTTTGTCCACATTTTATAACTATCTCAGGAAATAGTAAAGCATTCTAATTAAGAAATGGGATTTACAACCAGCGAGGCTTGCTTTTGGACTCTGGATTCACCACTGACTGACTTAATAGCTTTGGGGAAACTGTATAACCTTTCTGTGCTTCAGTTTGTTTGTAAAAGAGGACTGTAATAGCACCTAACCTCATAAGATTGTTGAGAATTAACACTTTTGAGGAGTAACACATTTGTTGGGGTGATCTAACCCAACCAAATGTTAGACTAGTATTGAGATCGTATTCAAAGACATGGAACACTGCCCAAGACAGAGCAAGTACTCAAATTATTAAATTATTAATAATTAAGCTGTTATATCTCTAGGAACCGGAGTTTACTGAAGGAAGAGGACCCTGCCATCCTTATCTCTGAGGTTCTAAGAAGGAAGTTTGCTCTGAAGGAAGAAGATTTCACTAGAAAAGGAAACTGACAGCACTCAGCTCTGCACACTCAGTCTCCTGCTCCTGGAATTCCTTCAGTAGCTGCCTTCCTCACCGCAGATGTTTGTCTCTGCATTAGAAATTTTCTGCAACAGTCTTCCCAAAAGCTAGAGCCGGGACTGAAAGAGCTGGATTATTTGTTTCCCATACTTCAGACTTTTGCAGGCACTAAGGCCTATTGTGAGCTGAGACACATTACAGGTAAATGTATAGATTGGAATGTTTCAGTCTACAGGCTGAGCTAGAAGTTTCTGGTTTTTCCTTGCCCCTCTGTGAAAATAGGTCCTGAACGACTTACTTCACTGCATAAGACCCTATAACTGGTCTTACCGGACACTTTGTGCCCAGCTGTCACTTCCTCTTAGCAGCTTTCTTGCAGCAGAGAGCTATCAGTGTTTATGTACATGTTCACAGGGCAAGAAAAGGCTTACGCTGCTCCATCACAAACCAACACCAGTGCCCAGCAATCACCCTCTTCCCGTGTCTGACACCTAGATGTAGAGGTCGGCCCTCTGGACCAGCTGGCATTCGGCTGCTTCTGGGAGGCCTGGGCTGTTTTTTTCTTAAATATATTTTGTAATACCGTACAAGCAAATCTACCCTCCAAGGCCTTGGGGCCTCATTGGTTCCGCTGACTGGACTCTTGCTCTTCCGTGGACTGTAGTTCAAGCCCAGTAGGAAACAAATGGGGAGGGAAAGAGAATATCACCTTTCTTTGAGGCCCTTGACTTCTTTGTATTGGGCCATGGTTTGTATCCACACCATGCATGACTCTGATGCCCTCAGGTCCCTTTCCCTGCAGTATGTATCCCGTGTGTGTTTGGGTTGAAGTACTACCTGACATTAAAGGATTTGGCAAGGTACTGCATTCGCTGTGTCCATCTGAGTTACAATCACCTGATGTACTTAATGGTATAGGATTCCTATTAATTTTGTAGTATATGAACTTTCATTAACAGGCTTCTGACTCTTCCTCTCCCCCCCCCCCTCCTTATAAGGTCCTGTCTTTTATTTTTTTTAAATGTAGAGATTTTGCCCCAAGCTCTTGTAAGCTTGCCCACTAGGAGCCTCTTAGGTACCACACCTGCATCACAGAAAACTGCGACCTGATGGATAAAGTCTTGAATAGAACAAAGGTCAAATTAGACTCCTGTTTAGTTCAGACCTACTGCAGTGATAGCATCTAATATTAAAAAGTTGCTTTTTCACCCTAGCTGGTTTAGCTCAGTGGATAGAGCGTCAGTCTGCAGACTGAAGGGTCCCAGGTTCAACTCTGGCCAAGGGCATATGCCAAGATTTCAGGCTCAATCCCCAGTAGGGGGTGTGCAGGAGGCAGCCAATCAATGATTCTGTCGTCATTGAATTTCCTATCTCTCTCTGAAATATTTTTTACAAAAAGGTTGCTTTTTCAAAAATAAAACTGGTAATGTTTTAATTACCACAAGAGTCACTTAGTAAACATTTATTTGGACTCAGTTTTATAAAGGGAGTTCTCACCCACTTTGTAATAGAGGAGTGTTACAGTCACATCTGGATTGCCATATAGCTTAGGATTTTTAAGGGAGAGATGTTTAAACAGAGACTATAACTTTAAAATGCTGTAAAGTAACCACAAAAATAAAATAAAAAATAATACTGCTACAATTCTACCTTCTACCTCTCTCTCCCCCTGCTCCTATTTACCACTCAAAAAAGTGTTAGGAATTAGTGGTCCCACTCTCTCCCCCATTCCTATTTACCACTCAAAAAAGTGTTAGGAATTAGTGGTCCCAAACTTAGGTTGAGTAAGTATGATTACAACCAGAGATTAAAAGTATGCACATCTCGGGGCGGAGCTTGAAGATGGCGACCGAACAGTCGGACTTGTTCTGACTCTGGTCCCAGAACAGATAGAAACAGCGTCTGAGTCGCTCAGGGAATGTTGATTGGCAGCTAAGGGGCTTCGGAATTCTCTAGGAAGGTAAGGAAAGGTCCGCTGGACAGGATTTCCTGACCAAGAGGCCAGCACTGCCGCGGCTGCGGCGGCTCTCCCAGCGAGCTCTCGCGGAGAGAAGGCAGCGCCATCTTACCAGGAAAGGAGGAGCATCCCTGAGGCCTGGAAAAAAACACAGCGGGGAGGTCCATCGAGCAGCTGAGACGCCCGAATCGGCACGGGCGCGTGGAATCGGGGGAGTTCTTCGGTCACCCACGGAAAGGTAGTGTTGTATTTTGAAACTTTAAATCAACGCAGGAGAAGGAACACCACATAACCAGACATCCTGAGAAGAGAGGCCATGGGGAGACAAAAACATAGTCCGCACATGAAAGAAAAGCAGGCATCACCAGAAAAGGAAGTAAACGAGCCCGAGGTAAGCAGCCTACCAGAGCAAGAATTCAGAATAATGATCATAGGATGGCTAAAAAGAATGGAAGAGAAATTTGACAATAACCAAGAAGAAATGAGGAAGAACCATGAGGAATTGAAGAAGAACCATGAGGAATTGAAGAACCACCAAGAAGAAATGAAAAATGACATCGCTACCATGAAGAACTCAATAGAAAGCATCAAGAGTAGACTAGATGAAGCAGAGGACCGCATCAGTGAGCTAAAAGATAAGATGGAAAAAAATACCCAAGTAGAGCAGCTTCTAGAAAAAAAGATTAAAAAGCAGGAGAGCCTACGGGAGCTTTGGGACAATACAAGACAAAATAATATTCGAATAATAGAGGTTCCAGAAGGAAAGGAAACTGAGGTAGACATGGAAAAAGTATTTCAAGAAATAATGACAGAAAAGTTTCCTGAAATAGAGAAGAAAAAACCCACACAAATCCAAGATGCTCGCAGAGTCCCAAGCAAAATGAATCCCAGAAGACAGACTCCAAGGCACATTATAATTAAATTGGCAAACAACGACGACAAAGTAAGAATCTTAAAAGCAGCCAGAGAGAGACAAAGTTACATACAAAGGAACCCCCATCAGACTAGCAACTGATTTCTCAACAGAAACTTATCAGGCCAGAAGGGAATGGGATGAAATATACAAAGTCATGCAAAGGAAGGGTCTGAATCCAAGAATACTGTACCCAGCAAGGCTATCAATCAAAATTGAAGGGGAAATCAGGAGCTTCACAGACAAAAAAAGACTGAAGGAATTTATCTCCACCAAACCAGCAATGCAAGAAATGCTAAAGGGTCTACTGTAAAAATAAATAGGAAGTGAAGAAGGAACACGGATATAGAATAAAAATGGCATCAAATGTGTACCTATCAATAATAACCTTAAATGTAAATGGATTAAATGCTCCAATCAAAAGACATAGGGTAACAGATTGGATAAGAAAACAAGACCCATACATCTGTTGTCTACAAGAAACCCACCTCAGAAAAAAAGATGCACACAGACTGAGGGTGAAGGGATGGAAAAAAGTTTTCCAGGCAAATGGAAATGAAAAAAAAGCTGGGGTAGCAATACTTATATCTGACAAATTAGATCTCAGAGTGAAGGACATAATAAGAGATAATGAAGGCCACTTCATAATACTAAAGGGAACAATCCAACAAGAAGAAATAACCCTGGTAAATATATATGCACCCAATACAGGAGCAACCAAATACATAAAAGTATGCACATCTCTAAGAAGCAATGTCCCAGTTAGGCATCTGAAAGAGAAAAGAGTTGCTTGAGTAATAGGCCCTTTAGTGGAGATAGATAGGAATTCCTCCCCTGCCTCCTCAATGCTCACTGAATTCAGACAAGGAATTTACTACCCACCTGTTCTTCAGGAAAAGGCATGATGCCAACCACACTGTCTCAACAGGTATCACCACTGGCTTTATTTACACAAAATGTTCAATAGCTTCATTCCATACCTCCCCAACCTTCAAAGATATTTATACTTGATGTCTGATAACTTGGTTACCTTCAGAGTCCTGGGTAAAGAGCAAATCAGGCTGCAGGTTTAACTGAGTGAGCCTATCCTCGCATCGAGCCCAATGGCTGTTAGGAAATTGCCCTAAATCCTGATTCCTATTGTTGGTTACCTCTTGGAAAGGAACTCTGAAGTTGTGAGCAATGACCCGCTGGCCCTGAGAATCCTCAGTGAAAAGCTGACTCCAGGAGTCCCTGTCATTCTTTTCACTGTCCCAGGAGACCACAGGAACAGAACCAGATCTTTGTTTCACTACTTCTGTGTTTTCTCCACTCCAGGACTCCCTGTAAGTTTGAAAGCGGACAGGAGCCTGCCTATTTTCTTTGGCAGACACCTTTTCCAATTTAGGCTTGTCCAAGGGCTGTTGGCCCTTGCCCCCAGGTGGTTTACTGCGTCTGTCCATACTCCGATGATTCCTTTTCTTAGATCCATGAAGCCATTCCCTTTTCCAGGAAGAATCCTGATCTCCCTCCTTCTGGTCCAGCAAGCAAGAACTTTCCAAGTCCTGGTTGAAAGAATAAGCCAGTGAGTCTTGACTCTCTCCAGTACAGATTATGTTAGTCTCAGGCTGGATCAAAGACAGCCCAGTCAAGAATGGGGTTCCCAGTCTGTGGTGGCCAGAAGCCTGGAGGGACTGAGGAGAAAGTCCAGCTTCCTGGATGTCTGTAGGGGTTGAAGTGGCTACAGGGGGTGCCACGCAATCGTCGCTCAAGCCCTGGATCAGATGGGGTAGCTGGGTTGCATCTTTCTTAGACTCTCTGTTGGTCTGACTTTCTATATATGATGAGACACTCCTCTGATCACCATTTTTCTTTCCTAGTGAAACAGACATGGACAAATATTATTCTGCAGGAAAACTCTGCCCTGAGCAGGATTTAGCTGGTTCTTTCTGAAATCAGTATTGGCTATTATCATTACCTCGTGCAGGGGTCTTAGACTCCTCACATCCCTTGTCACTGAGCTTCCAGCTTTCAATCTCTATTCTTACCTGAATGATCTTTCTAAAACATAGATCTAATATATCCCCTACTCAAATATATAGATGCTTCCTATGAGCTCCATAATAGTCAAACATGACATAATCAGACGACTTTTCCAGCTTAGTTTTCATATGTGAAGTTTATGTTACTGATTTCTTTAACAATCACATTGCAAAAACTTTTATGAAAGATTTGTCTATTTTGCCTAAGAATTCTATATAAACAGAATATACCAGAATTTTACAATTTGAAGTACAAAGTGTTATTTATTTTATTTATTTATTTTTAAAGCCTGTCTTTGTTAAAGCAAAAGAGCTAAGTTTTTGTTTGGGGTATGGAGAATGCATTTTGAAAGTTTATGCAAAGCAATCCTGGGTACCGCACCAAGAATTAGAGCTCTCCTTTCACCTGGCAGGAACCTTGCTCCATAAGCCCCAGCCTGCTCTTAGTCAGCTGGTCCCCTGAAGTGGGACATGCAGGCAAAGAACTGTCAACTTTATGCAAACCTTTTTTTAAAAGATATATTTTTATTGATTTCAGAGAGGAAGGGAGAGGGAGAGAGAGATAGAAACATCAATACTGAGAGAGAATCACTGATCAGCTGCCCTCTGCATGCTCCACACTGGGAATTGAGCCCGCAACCCAGACATGTGCCCCTGACCAGAATCGAACCTGGGACCCTTCAGTCCGCAGACGGACACTCTATCCACCGAGTCAAACCAGCTAGGGCAATGCAAACCTTCCTAAGGAAAAAACATTGTTGAACCTTGACTAATTTGAGATGCTTCATACAAAAATATCAATTATCAATTAATCATGCAGACTACTTGTGGCTAATCCAAGACATACACCTAACTAAAGGTCAGTTCCCTTATATACCCTCAACTCCCAAGTATATCCTTCCTCACTGCTCTGACAGGGAATACAAATACTTAATATTAGACTGAGCAAAGCAGAAACAGAAAAATATGTTTGTAAAAGCATGTATATATTGCTTTTCAGAAGGCGATTTTGTTTTATAACCTCTTCTAATAAGAGAGCTATGCACTGGTGTCACTTAAAAATGTTCCAGCATGAAAAATAAATAAATAAATAAATAATGAATGCACTCCTTTTTGCTCCCTGGGTGCTCCCAGGCAGGTCACCATACCTGATTGCAAGGTGAAGAAGGAAGCAATGCTGGTCTGCTGAACGCCTGCAGGTGGAGTTCTTTGAGGAGCCTTTCTCTCTCTAGGCAAGAGTGTTAGCATTTTGGTGCTTGACTTGATTAAATGTGTCTGAAAATTAGGAGAAAAAGAATAGAAATTATTAATATCAAAAACAGTTGCAAGTCAGGAGAAATTCAGTAAACACCAGTGACCCCCTGATGGATCCTTTGGACTCCCCTCAGATCCTATTTCCTAGATAGTTTTTGCTGTATATCATCTTCCATCATTTCTTGCAATACTGATGGTGTGTTTTTCTCAGGAATCACAAATTCCAACTATAGCCCAATCATTCTGCTTCTCCATGGAAATCAGGTTGACTAAACAAACAGGGTTTGTTGAGGGGACTTTTTACAGAGAGGAAGGGAGAGAGAGAAAGTTAGAAACATCGATGAGAGAGAAACACCAAATTGCTGCTTCCTGCACACTCCCCACTGGGGATGTGCCCACAACCAAGGTACATGCCCTTGACCGGAATTGAACCTGGGATCTTTCAATCTGCAGGCTGACGCTCTATCCACTGAGCTAAACTGGTTTTGGCAGAACTTTCCCATACAAAACTAAAAATCTGGATAAGTTACAAGAAACAACTGGTTTTAGGCAATGGGTAACATACAGTGTAGGACTGTGATCCCTAAAAAGGATTTTTAAGAAGGAAAACAAATAAGGTGAGCCCTGTGACCACCCTAGTTTTCTGTTTGGAAGAACTTGCCCAACTACTGTGTATAGAGTGGCAGAGCGCTATATCTCGCTTGATGAATAGAGTAAATTGAGATTAGAATTTGAGGAAGCTGCCGAAATCCGTTTGGCTCTGTGGATAGAGCGTCGGTCTGTGGACTGAAGGGTCCCAGGTTCAATTCTGGTCAAGGGCATGTACATTGGTTGCGGGCACATTCCCGGTGGGGGGTGTGCAGGAGGCAGCTGATCGATGTTTCTCTCTCATTGACGTTTCTAGCTTTCTATCCCTCTTCTTTCCTCTCTGTGGAAAATTAATAAAATGTATTAAAAAAAAAAAAAAGAAGAAGAAGAATTTGAGGAAGCTGAGGTGGCTAGGATTTGCAGCACTGAGAAATACATCCAAAAATCTATGTAGAGATGATCCCTTGAGTCTATTATTGAAATACTAACCTACACATGTGTTAGGTGACAACCTACGTGGCCAAAGAAATGCCAGGATTGCAAATTGAGTAATTCCCAGAGCTCACACAGGTCTGGAATAGTTTATAGACAGAGTAGAGGGACCTCCTTGAATTAGGTAGAGTTCTCAGTAGGATCACTCCTAGTTTTAGAGCTAAACTAGCCAGAGCAAAAGCTATTCCAAAACAGCCTTAACAAAGCTTAAAAACAAGCATTTACAGTAGCAAGCTGATTAGCAAGTAACTACCTACCTAAACAAGTTTCAGTATTCTTTAAAGACAACAAAATCTAGATACCTAAAAATGTAGCACTGAAGATGCTAGCATACAAAAAAAAAATTACTAGATATATGAAGTCACAGGAAAATATCCACAATTTGGGGTAAGGGGAAAACAGTTAATAGAAGCAGACCCAGGGATGACAGAATTAGCAGATAAACCTAGTAGTCTCATATTTATAGTAAACTAGGGGCTAAGTGCACGAATTTGCGCACCTTGAAAGGAACCATGGGCCTCAAGGTTGAGGTGGACACAGGGGTGGGTCTCAGCCCATCCTCCACGCACACACACACACACACACACACACACACACACGCACGCGCGCAAATAGAACAGTGGAACAACCGATCACTATGATGTTCGCTCCCAGAGGACACATGTGCAGAACATGGCAAGCATTGGCTGCTGTGAGATGGATGGTGGAGCAGGTGAGTGGGGGTGCCAGACCAAGGCAGGGCGCTGGTCACTATCAAAATTCTTTGCTCCCGCACACCGCAGTCCCACCGGGCACTCACACCTGCTGCCAGCACAGGTCCCACTCGCACCCACTGCTGGTGCCCAGTGCTGGCCCCAATTACTTGGCGCCATCAGTGGGTGCGAGCAGTGGCTACAAGCAGCACCCGTGGGCCCCAATTGCCCCTCAGGGCTTCTCCACCTCCCTCTGCTCCTGAAGGGCAATCGGGGCAGTATAAACTCATACCTGTTGCGGGCGCCGGCCCCAATTGCTCCATGCCATCAGCAGGTGTGACTGGGCTGGTGCCATCAGCACGTGGGAGCAGTGGTGGCAGAGCAGGGCTGCCCACAGACAGGGCTGGGGGCTGCAGCAGGAGGGACTGAGCAGGGGCGTGGAGGATGGGCTGAGACCCACCCCTGTGTCCACCTCAACCTTGAGGCCCATGGTTCCTTTCAAGGTGCGCAAATTCGTGCACTTAGCCCCTAGTTTACTATAAATATGAGACTACTGAACAAAATAGCAGTGAACCTGAAGACAATATAAACTATTCAAAATGAAGAGGGGAAAAAACTGAAAAGAATAAAAGTTTTAATGATCTATGGTGTATCAAGTATACATATAATTAGAATTCCAAAAACAAGGCAGAGGCAGATGTGAACAACATATACTTGAAAAAATTATGGGTAAAATTGTTTTTTTAATTTGATGAAAACTACAAACAACTATAATTGACTGTCTTTGTCAAACATGGCCAATACAAGCTCTCCCATTTCACATGCTCTTATAATGTGAACTTGCCACTCCTCCCATCAAGTGGTGAGATCCATAATGCCTCACTTTGAACTTGGTTCTGAAGAACTCTGTCACTACCTGACAAAGTATGATAGAAGTAACAGTACATGATTTCCCAAAAGAGGTCACAGAAATGCCTTGCTTTCTTAAGATGCTATTGGAACCTGGCTACCATGCTATGAGAAGCCCAAGCAGGCACATGAGTCTCTAGATTTTTATGAAACATACATCCTAGATATTTGAAATAATATGTTAGTATGTGAACAAGTATTTGAGCACCTATGTGATAATTACTGGGAATATAGTGATGAACAAAACAGACTGTTTCTGCCCTGGTAAAGCTTATAGTTTAAGAGGGGGAAAGGGGGGTCAAACTAATAGCTATTAAAATTACTACAAGTAGCCCAGCTGGCGTAGCTCTGTGGTTGAGTGTTGACTTATGAATCAGGAGGTCACAGTGTGGGGCATGCAGAAGGCAGCTAATCAATGATTCTCTCTTATTCTATCTAATAAAAAAGGAATATGCTAATTGACCATCACACCCTCACAAAGATGGCAGTGCCCACAGCCAATAAGGCAGTAATATGCTGACTGCCACGCCCTCAAATATGGCGGCACCCAGTCTCCTCAGCCCCACAGCCACCCAGAGCCAGCCCGAGGCACAGGCAAGCCTCAGAAGGCAACTGCCCACCCAACCCAGGGCCAGCCCAAGGTGTAGGCAAGCCTTGGATGGCAGCTGCCCAGCTGACGCCTGAAGCACAGGCAAGTCTCAGATGGCAGCTTCCCAGCCACTCACGGCCGTCCGAGGCTCAGGTAACCAGGGCTGGCCAAGGCTTGTGCTGCCAGCAGTGGCAGCAGCAGAGGTGTGATGGGGGTGTCACCTTCCTCTGATCACTGGGTTGCTTCCCACCCGAGGGCTCCCAGACTGTGAGAGGGGACAGACTGGGCTGAGGGACCCCTCTCCAGTGCATGAATTTTCATGCACCAGGCCTCTAATCTAGGAATAAAGCTTTTCACCAACATGACCATACTTAGCAGAAGTGAGACGTTTATTCCTTAGTTCAGAATGATGTCCTGAATGATGTTGCCCCACTTGTATATTTCTTTGAAGGATCCACATTTATCTCAATGGAATGTTAAGACTGAGTAAGAACAGGTCATCTGGAACTGAGAGGGGCCCAGGCTCAAAGTCCCTCAGTAGATTATCCACCTCAAAACAAAGGCAGCCTCAGTGTATACCCTATGCCTAATAGGCATAGGGTTCCTACAGGATCAAACCCCCTTGGTGAGCCATAACCTAGGCACTGACAATCCTTACCCTACAAGAATGCCCTAAACAATACAATCTCAGGGAACATATTCCCTCCAAACCAAAGAATCTCTAGTTCTTTGTTATATCACATGCATGGTCCCATCAAGTTTTCTTCTTTCAGAGTAGTGGAAGGAGAAACTGACTTCCTACAATGACAGAGCTCCTGCTCTTCTTATATGTATCATCTGTGCTATCTTCTTAGAGAGTGTGATGCTTTTTCTTTTTTTATTTCTTGGCTGCAAATCATCCCCAAACTGTGACACTTTCTTATACTTCCTCTTTTGAACTTGACATTTATCACTTGATATTTCAAGACTTCTCAACTAGCTTAATATAGTAAGTACTCAAAGAGTATCACAACAGATCTGGGATCATATACTTCACTCTTCTTATTGTTAGAAAATGTTTTATTCTTCCACAGAATTTAAATTCAGTTTAGCCTTCATTCTATCTTTTTCTCTTCTGATTATTTAACCTGTAAGCATGTCTTCAAGTACTGCTTTCAAACCAATTTAATTCCTTTATGATTCATGTGGCCTTCAGTGCAAGTCTAGTACATAATTTGATCCAACTTCTTTTTTATAATGGTCGCTCTGGTCTTGAATTATTTATGAAGTCTCACTTCCATATAAACTAACATAGCTGTGAAATATATGAATGTGTGTATTTTACTCTTTTTGCCATTCTACGGCCTTTATGCTTCCCAGGGCTCATACTGATTTCTTCTGCTTCTAGTCACTGACAGCACCATCACCAAGTCTCCCCTTCCTCCTTAGTCTCTAATAGCATTAATTTGATGACATTTTGAACAAAAACCTTTTCCAACCAGTAACTATCATGCCTCATCAAGTCAGGCTGAAAGGATGTGCTATCTAATAAGGAAAATTATTTAAGGAATCTGACCAAGAAAAGCTATCAGATTCTCATCATCTCTAGAAATATAAAACAAGTTAACACCCTACCCTAGTTCAAGATTTCATACTCTTGCCTAGTCCTAGATCAGTGGTCGACACACTCATTAGTCAACAGAGCCAAATATCAACAGTACAATTGAAATTTCTTTGGAGAGCTGAAAACCAACTTCTACGCACTGTACGTGCAAACCCGCACATAGTATTTTGTGAAAGAGCCACACTCAACGGGCCAAAGAGCCACCTGTGGCTTGCAAGCCAGTTTGTCGACCACTGTCCTAGACTATTACAACAATCTCTTAACTGATCAAGTTCCCATTCACTGCCTGTTCAATCAGTCCCACATATAGATCAATCTTAAAGAACAACTGTGATCATATCATCACATTGTTCTGTCAATAGTTTCTCTGCTACCTATAGCATAAAGGATGGACTCTCAGACTGCACACATTCATATTCCAATTTACCTTTTCCTCCATTATCAAAACCCTTCATGCACCCTGCGTCATAATGCTCAGCTAGATGTCAGTCCCTATTATGGCCTCCACTTTCCTCACTTTTTTTTTTTAATTAATATATTTTATTGATTTTTTTTACAGAGAGGAAGGGAGAGGGATAGAGTTAGAAACTTCGATGAGAGAGAATCATCGATCAGCTGCCTCTTGCACACCTCCTACTGGAGATGTGCCCGAAACCCAGGTACATTCCCTTGACCCAGGACCTTTCAGTCCGGAGGCTAACGCTCTATTAACTGAGCCAAACCGGTTTCGGCACCTTCCTCACTTTTGTGCTTCACACAGAAGGGCCTTTTTTACACCCAGCTCTGAAATGCTATATATTCTTCAGCTCACCCCCAAACATTTCTGATTCCATATGTGACCTCTTCCTCTTTTGAACTTGATATTTCAAGACTTCTCCTACAAAACCCTAGGATCAACATTTGACTCACTTTTCTTTCTATCCTCCACACAACTAGCTTAATATAGGAAGTACTCAATTCAATAAATATTTTTACAAAGAGGATGGATATATAGGAAGGATACATTCCTGTTTGTTTATATATACACCTACTCATTACATTTTCAACAACACTGTCAGAAAACACTAAGGCTTTTCTAATACAGTGAGCAAGCCTAAGATGAGCTCCTGTAACTGTAAACTGATGTCACACATAAGGTCCAAAACAGATAGGATGAAAGGGTACAGTCACTGAAATTGTTAAAGTTTCCTCTCAAGGTAATCTAACAAATTACCAAAGTAATCTAGAAACTGATAGTTGAAGGAGCCCAGAAATAAACCCTCAAGAAGATTTGATTCAATGGTAAATTGACAGTCTTTTCAATAAAAGGCAACAAAAGGAAAAAATAGGAATTTATCAAAAGTAAAAATCTTCTGTGCCTCAAAGGACACTATCAAGAAAGTGAAAAGACAACATACAGAATGGGAGAAATATTTGCAAATCATATTATCTGATAAGGGATTAATATACAAAATACATTATGTAAAGAAAACCTACCCTAGCCAACTTGGCTCAGTGGTTGAATGTCGACCTATGAACCAGGTCACAATTCTATTCCTAGAGCACATGCCCAGGGTTCGGTCCCCAGAAGGGGGTGTGCAGGTGGCAGCTGATCAATAATTCTCTCTTATGCCGAAACCGGTTTGGCTCAGTGGATAGAGTGTCCGCCTGCGGACTGAAGGGTTCCGGGTTCGATTCCGGTCAAGGGCATGTACCTTGGTTGCGGGCACATCAGGTAGGGGATGTGCAGGAGGCAGCTGATCGATGATTCTCTCTCATCAATGTTTCTAACTCTCTGTTCCTCTCTTCCTCTCTGTAAAAAAATCAATAAAATATATTTTTAAAATAATAATAATTCTCTCCTATCACTGATGTTTCTCTCTCTCCCTCTCCTTTCCTTCCAGATCAATAAAAATATATTAAGAAAAAACAAAACAAAAAAAAACCCTCAAACCTGTGATTATTTCATAGCTACTTTAGGAAGCAGCAGGTTTCTACATTGTGTAAAAGGGAACCTTTAGTACTTTGCTATGGTTAGAAGGCTTAAACTCAGAGAAACAGGAACTAGTTGAGGAACCCAACAAGTTTTAAACAGGATTCTGGGAATAAACTAACATGGTAGGAAATGCTATCAGTAACTGTGGTCATAAGGTTCAGGCCTTCAGAAATCAGAGGATGGTAAGGGCGTAGAGATCTTGGAGAGAGGATTCCCGCCACACACCACATCAGCAGAACAAGTGGTTTCATTATTAACACCATGAAAGAAAATAGTGCCCTGGCAGGTGTTGTTCAGTGGTTAAACCATCGATCACCCTGTGGACAAAAGGGTCTCTGGTTCGATTCCTGGTTGCAGGTTCTATCTCTAGCGTTGGTCGGGGTGCCTATGAGAAGCAACCAACCAATGTGTCTCTCTCATATCAATGTCTGTCTCTGTCTGTGTCTGTCTGTCTCTCTCTCTCTCCCGCCTTTCTTCCCTCCCTCCCTCAGGCGAGGATTAATAAAAAGAGGGGGAGAAGGGAGGGAGGGGTGGAGAAGGGTGGGAGGGAGGGGTGTAATTTGGGATGACAGAGTTGCAGACATAGAGACAAATTACTGGCACTCCTCTGTGGGTTACTCCCTTTCTCTCTCCTGAACTCTTCCTAATTCTCTTCCATTTCTCTCCTCAAATTAAGGATACAGGTTTTCCACCCAGCACATGTGTTCATTCCAGAATGTATTCTATAATAAAAGGCTTATTCCTAATTCAGGAGTAATAAATAACCATTGCACATTTTGATCATTTTTTATAAATATGTGTATTTTCCCACCAACCATGAATTAGTCTTTTCTCTATATTTGGGATAAAAACAGTCACCATTCTACCTGTGCCTTAATATGATATAACTTATACTTTTTTGCTTGTTAATTCACAAACTAGAGAAGAACAAAATGCCAAGGAAGATAACTTTAAACTACTGATTTAACAAGCTTAGTTAACACAAGGTCCTCTCTCAGGAATTCCTGCATTGCAGAAAATGTGTTTCAGGTTTCTGAAGTGATCCAAACTTTACTATTATATAGAAGGGAGAGACTTTTATATTTATTAAACAAAGTTTTATGTTTCATATTCTTAATTTTATTTTATTTTTTTATATTATTTATTGATTTTGTATAGCGAGGAAGGGAGAGAGATAGAGAGTTAGAAACATCGATGAGAGAGAGTCATCGATCAGCTGCCTCTTGCACACCCCCTACTGGGGGTATGCCCGCAACCAAGGTACATGCCCTTGACCGGAATCGAACCCGGGACCTTTCAGTCCCCAAGCCGACGCTCTATCCATTGAGCCAAACCGGTTTCGGCTCATATTCTTAATTTTAAAAACAGATACATTCAATTACAGACCTGGTGACCTTCTGGTTCATAGGTCCACACCCAACCACTGAGCGTGCTGGCTGGGCTTTTTTGTTTGTATTGAATTCAGAGAGACAGAAACAACAATGATGAGAGAGAATCCTCTACCTCCTACACACCCCCTACTGGGGATCCAGCCCACAACATGGGCATGCAACCCAAACATGTGCCTGGACGGAAGAATCCAACTGTGACCTCCTGGTTCATAGGTCAAGGTTCAACCACTGAGTAACAACTGCAGGGCTGTAAGAGGGTTTTTTGTTTGTTTGTTTGTTTTTAACAATACTCAATTTTTACTCAAGCAATCTATAGCCACCCAAAGAAGACTGTCTTTTTTTCTATGATTTCGATTAGGTTAATCACCTGGTCTGGAGACTATAATCCAAACTATCCAAATTCAGCACACTTGGCTAATCTCAAATCCCTTTCTACCTGCTCAGTTAATCTTCCTTGTTAATCCCAAATCATGATCATCTCTCTCGCCTCCAAAATCACGTTTCCCTTGATTCCACTCACCTGGGCCGTATTCTGCCTTGTGGAGAATAAGAACACGGGCCTCTGTAGCAGTCTGCACCGGGCTGACGTGGGAACATTTCTAACCTTATGCCTCAATTTTTTTCATCTTTAAAAAAAGACAATGGCGGTATCTACATCACTGTGTTTTTGCGCGTACCTACTACCATTAATAAGTCACATGATTCTTCAGCAAAGTGCATCCCTTTTCTTCCCCTTAAGCTGTAAGCCACTTTAGAGCCAGAATCCTGCCTTCCTTTAGACTAGAGCCTCAGTTTTCATGTATAAAACGGGTATCATTATTCTCCCTGCTGCAGAGCTGCATCAAACAAGATAACGTATCTGAAACACTTAGCACAATGCCCAGCATAAAATGCTCGATAAGCATTAGAGATCATCTCATACTTTTGTTCCAATATTCAATATACAATTGAATATTGAAATGTGACAAACCTGGGGGTGATTTCCAACCCTCCCCGGCTGGGTGCACCGGGGAGTCACCCCTCAGGCTCCTCACCCCCACAGGGTGATGGTGCACATAACACCGAGTCTGGCATCCAGGGGGCTCACTAAGCACGAGGCCAGCTCCCTTCCCCGTCTCCTCCATTTCCCCCCTGAAGTTCCAGGTTCTCTCAGGTAGACCGCCTGCAGGCTGAGCTTCCCAATACTTCAGCCTTTTCGTTTTCCCTTTTCCTTTCATTTTTAATGTTGACATTCAGGGCACCCCCCCCCCCCGCCTCGGCCCCCTTTGCTCTCCACCCAGCCCTCCTCCTGCCGCCTCGCAGCGCCCCGAGCTCCTGAGGAGCCGCCCCCACCCCGAGCCCTGCGGTCCGTGTCTCCTCCTCCCTCCAGTCTGCCTGCCTTCCGCCCCTTTCCCCACCCCCCCGCGCCCTCCCCAAACTCCGCTGTTCACCCTTCCTCAGACGCCGCTCCCTCTCGCCTTCGAATTCCCAAAGCTGTTTCCTTCTCAGGCCCCGACTTAACTTCCATCCCCTTCCGGCCCCCCGAAGCGTCCCTCCCCGCTCCCCGCCACCCACCTGCACTCTCCGCCTCTTCAGCGCCGCCGCGTCCAGCCACACGCCGCAGGCCTCCTCCTCGGGGCCGGAGCGCCTCATGGCCGCTGAGGAGGCCTCGCTCGCCTCACGCGGAGTCCGGCTCCGGCAGCCGCAGAAACAGCCGCCACCTCAGGCTCCGCCAACGTTCGGATCTCGCGCCAACGCCGGGGGCGGGGCTACGTCGCCGACCTGACGCAGGCCCCGCCCATGGCGTCCGCTCCGGCGGCCCAGGCCCCGCCCCTTTCTAGGCCCCGCCCCACGCCGAATCCAGGGCTACAAACGCATCTCCTGTGGGGGGAGCCCTTTTTTCTTTATGAAGGACTTCGTGTTCTCTTTTCATTCAAAAGTTGTATTCCGGGAAATATGCTGTATGGACGCGTTTGAGACTCTGCATAAGGAACGTGCATTTTCCCTGGCCGGCTTGGCTCAGTGGATAGAGCGTTGGCCTGCGGACTGAAGGGTCCCGGGTTCGGTTCCGGTTCCGGCCAAGGGTATGTGCCTGGGTGCGGGCTCCATCCCGGTGGGGGGGGAGGGGTGCGGGAGGCAGCTGATCAATGATTCTCTCTCATCATTGATGTTTCTCTCTCTCCCTCTCCCTTCCTATCTGAAATCACTAAAGAAATAGAATTTTTTTTTAAAGAAACGTGCCCTGCCAAAACCGGTTTGGCTCAATGGATAGAGCGTCGGCTTGGGGACTGAAAGGTCCCGGGTTCGATTCCGGTCAAGGGCATGTACCTTGGTTGCCGGCATATCCCCAGTAGGGGGTGTGCAAGAGGCAGCTGATCAATGACTCTCTCTCATTGATGTTTCTAACTCTGTATCTCTCTCCCTTCCTCTCTGTACAAAATCAATAAAATATATATTTTTTTTAAAAAAAAAAACGTGCCTTTTCTTCTTGCTGAGTTAGTTGTGATTCCTTATGACAAATATTAGAAGCCTGATACATGACAAATGTAGGCCTTCCTTCCCCCAGCTGCCCACACCAGCTTCCCTCCAGCACCGGGACCCAGGCTGGCTTCCCTCCAGGCAGCTTTGTCAGAAAGGATGTCTGGGAGTCCAGTCTAATTAGCATGTTACCCTTTTATTATTATAGATTATACAATAGACTAATAGCCCTGCATACCAATCCATGGCCAGTAGGTCATTGTTGCCCTCCTGTAGCTCCCCCACCCCACCCCCAATAGCTTGCTGCCCTGCCTCCTTCTGTAGCTCTCGGCCTCCTGCTTGCTTGCTGCCCTGCCCCGCTTGTAGTTCGCTGCCACACCTTCCTGCAGACCCGTGATCAGGTGGTTATGTGGTGGGTCATTACGCCTCAGGGCGTAACAGATAATTAGTATATTCCTCTCTTATTATATAGGATAATTAGCAAGAAAATTCGTGCAGTGGGGAGGAAGCCCTCTGCCCCCTCTCACAGTCCGGGAGTTCTCAGGGGATGTCCTACTGATGACTTAGGCCCACTTCAGGAGCCGCAGTCAGGCCTCCCTCTGCAGGAGGCGACCAGGAAGATCAGGGGGAGGCACTGCCCCCATCACCCTGTTGCTGCTGCTGCCTCTGGCCTCCCTCTGTGGGAGGCAACCAGGTCCATCAAGGGAAGGTGCCATCCCCAGCACCCACTGCTGCTGCTGCTGCTGCTGCCACTGCCAGTGGCCATGGCTGTGAAGCCTGACCCCCAGGCCTTGCAGCACAAGAGCTGCCCGCCACACCACGCAGCGCAGCGCTGCGCCATGAGAGCTGCTGCTCGTGGGCTGGGGGAGGGACCGAGAGGTGCTCAATGCACCTCATGGTGACCAGTCGTTTGGTCGTTGTGGTCATCACAGACACTGGCTTTTTATATATGTAGACTAGGGGCTTGGTACACAAAATTTGTGCACGGGGGTGTGTGTCCCTCAGCCCAGCCTGCACCCTCTCCAATCTGGGACCCCTCAAGGGATGTCTGACTGCCCATTTAGGCTCAATCTAGAACTGCTGGCTCCCAACTGCTCTCATGCCTGCCTTCCAGATTGCCCTTAACTGCTTCTGCCTGCCAGCCTAATCACCCCCTAACCACTCCCCTGCCAGCCTGATTGATGCCTAACTGCTCTCCTGCCAGCCTGATTGCCCCTAACTGCCCTCCCCTATAGGCCTGGTCACCTCTAACTGCCCTCCCTTGCAGGCCTGGTCACCCCCCAAGTGCTCACCCCTGCAGGCCTGGTTCCTCCCAACTGCCCTCCTCTGCTGGCCATCTGTGGTGGCCATCTTCTGTCCACATAGAGGCAGCCATCTTTGACCACATGGGAAAGCCATGTTGTGTTGGAGTGATGATCAATTTGCATATTACTCTTTTATTAGATAGGATAACTAGCCCTGTGTTCAGCGTTTTCTTTGTTTCAAAAAGGAAGAGTGGAGTCAAGGCTCAGATCCACTGGCTCCAAATCTAGGGTCCACGACCCAATCCTTAAAAGGTTAACATGACCTGGAGTTTATGAGTTATTTTTGTAATTCAAAGAAAGGAAATCCAAGCTTGACTATGAAACCACATAGGAGAGGATTTAGAACATGTTAAAATGAAAACTAAAAATTTGGAGTCAAGAACTAGCTTTCATTTCTACCTTTTGTGGCTTACTGTGGATTTTAGAGAAGATCGAGTGAAGTAACAGTTGTGAAAGTACTTTGTAAATTCTAGAAGCCTCAGAAATGCAAAAATGATGGCATCCCACCCTGTCCTTCCATTCCTAACCACAGCCTTCATAGATGTCATATATTTCTTAGGCATTGGGAGACTTTCTTACCTATACTTTCTAATTTTCCTTCTCTGTACATATACTGCTTGTGTACTCTGAAGAAAACATTATTATAGAAGTTAACATACAGCATACCATGAAAAATTGACATAAAATCCTCCTGGACCGAGCCCCAAAAATGAAATCTTTGTCAAATGATAAAATGGGATGATGTATATTTTTAAAACATCCTTTTCACTTCTAAATTTTACTTACTAATAAAACTGCCCTCCACTTCCCTTCCAAAAAAATTTTAAAAGTTCTTACATATAGTACACAAGGCCCCAAGGTCACTCAGGCAAAGATAAAACAAACAAAGCAAAACCACAGCACGCGCAGGCCCCTGGGTCTCCCTGGAACAGGAGGCAGAAAACAAAGAGGCAGCTGTTATCACAGTAACTTTATTGCACCCGGGGCATCGCCAAGTCCGGACCACCCCTCGCTCCAGCCCCCGGAACGCCTTCCGTACCCCGGGGTCTTTGTGCAGGTTTTCCCCTCTGCCTGGAACATCTTTCCTCTTCTCCATCCGAAAACTCCCATTCGCCCTTCCCAACCCAAAACCCCGAGGGCCCCAGGCCACACCCATTACTCCCTCCTCGGTGCTTACCCTGACAGTTCATCCCAATGTTAAAGTCTCTGATCCTACACTGGTCCGGAGAGCCCCATGGAGACCAGTGGAGACCAGCTGGGAACAGGACGTTTGGAACATGGAGGCCAACGCTAGGAGGTGAGCTCGCTGCAGGGGACAGTGGCTGAGGGACATGGGGCACCGGGTGGGATCCACCTGCACCTAGCACAGTCTTCACCTTTGGGGACTCCGAAGCTCCAAAACTCCGGGCTGGGGTTCGGACAATGGTCGGATCCTGCACACACTTTGGTCCTGCCCCTTCCCCACCCACCAATGAGATCGGACACAAGGGATTCGCTGAGGCCTCCTCTGCCTCTCAGCTCAAGTCTAACTCTGGCCTAAATTCCACCTTCAGCCCCTCTAGATAACCTGGAAGTCCTGGCCCCAGCTGGCACCCCCTCAACCCCCCATCCTCACCTGCAGCGAGAGGCAATGTGGGGAGGCGAACCAGGGTAGCCACATCTTTATCTCTTTCCCTCTCCCAAGTCAGGGAGTCAGGGCAGGCCCAGGAGCGGACCCCAGAGCTCCAAGCCAATCCCAGTGCCTACACCCTTGGTAGCTGAGGTGTGCGCACAGAGACACGGCAGTGCAGACACAAACAACTTTACCAGGCCTTGTTCCCCCTAGATGGAGCCGAGCCCGGACCCCTGGGCTCCCAACTCTCCCTCCCTCCCGACCAGCTGCCACCTCCCCTCACTGGGTCTTCTGATCGAGCTTGCGCCGCACCAGCTGGCTCAGGAGGAACGCGGTGAGGACGCTGCTGCCCACGGTGAGCAGGAAGAGGCCGGAGAAGTTGTGGGGCCAGCGGGTGTGCAGCGGCTCGTAGATGGGCCGCCGGGCCTCGTAGTCCAGCGCCACGGCCTCCAGCTGAGCCAGGGTGCAGAACACCAGGAAGACGTGGAAGAGCTGGTGGCCCTGCCCAAAGAGGTGGCAGCTGCCGGGGAACCAGCGCTCGGGCATGAGGGCCGAGAAGAAAGCCGCGGCCAGCAGGAAGAAGACCACCTGGCACTTGTGGTAGAGAAGAGCGAGGTCATCGGTGGCCGGGTTGGGGGACACCAGGATGCGGTGCGCCACCGGGCTGATGTCCAGCGCGTAGGCCAGCGCCGAGGGCACCTCCTGGCACGTGCGGCCCAGCAGGCCGGGCTTCTGGATGTACTTGTTGTAGCAGGAGCCGGTGCAGGAGAGCCAGGCGAGGAAGGCGGCCATGGGCAGGAAGATGGCCTGCACCTGGGCGTGCCAGGCGGGCTCGATGGCGTAGTAGAAGTGTGCCAGGGCGCTGCCGAACTGGTACACGGCCACGCCCACGTAGTCCAGGAAGAAGAAGCTGTAGTGCCAGAACTCGGACTTGGCCTGCAGGAGGTGCGCCAGGGCGCTGAGGGAGAGGTAGGTGAAGGAGGCGAGGACGATGATGAAGAGGGGCAGGGCGTGGGGGTCTCCCCAGAAGTCCACGGTGCCCAGGAAGACGGCCAGCCGCAGCAGCAGCACCAGGGCGGCCAGCAGGTGGGTCCAGACGTTCACCGCCTCGTTGTGCTGCTGGAACAGCGTGCGGAAGTAGAAGCGCCAGGTCTGGTGCAGCGGCCGGTAGCCCACGTAGATGTACGGCTTCCAGTAGAGGGGCGGCACCTTGGCCCGGTCCACGGTGAAGACGGGCTCCGGCTGCCCGGGCGGCTGGGGCTGCTGGCGGGCCTGCCGCAAGCGGGGCAGGAGGTGGCTAAGCTTCTGGGCCACCATGGTGGCCATGGCGGTGGGCTGGGAAGGGAGCTGGGAGAGGGACCAGAGCAGAGTCAGGAGCTGGTGCCTTCACCCCCATGCCCAGTTCCTACTCCCTCCTGCCCGCCCCCTCATCCTGCGCTGAGTTTCAGAAGGAGGGAGGCATCGTCCGGAGGGAGGGCTCAGCTCTGATTCGTGGTGGTCCTGCTCCCTGAATCCCAAAGGCCTAGAACAGTGTCTGGCTCACTACCTCAGCCACTTCCGTTCCAGTCCACGCTCCACACAACAGCCCCATGTGTCCTCCTGTGTTTACGCTGCCGTCGGTGGACACCTGGTGGTGACAGTGACCTTGCTAACAGAGCAGCTGCCTCTATTTTTAGCCCCTTTCGTCTCCCACTAACCCTCCAGGATCTATCCCCGCTGTCATTCCCGGCCTAGTATGGCTCAGCTACAATGTATTCAAATCCAGCCACAGCCTCACCACCTCCTGGCCTGTTTCACACAGGTATGTTTGCATATGCTGTTCCCTCCACCTGAGATATCTTCCTCACCTTGCTTATCTGGCAAACTCATATTCACCCCTCAGAACCCACTTCCCCTGGCCCCCCGAGCCTCAGATGACGACCTCTCCACTTGCGTTCCTATCGCATGCGTATCCTTTGACCACAGAACACTTCGCATGGACGTTGAAATTGTTAATGTGAGCTCATCGAGGCTGGGCAGTTTGTCTCGTTATTTTGTGAACCCCTGGTGCATAGCAGGTAGCTGACACTCAGTGTTTGTTGAGTCAAAGAACAACTAACCGCATTCTGATAAAAAAAATAATAAAAAATAAAAATAAAAATAAAAAAAAAACCTCATATCCTTTGAGACCCAACAAAAAAGCCACTTTTTTTTTTTTTTTTTTTGCTGAAAGTTCCAGGAACTTTATCCTTAGAAAAACAGGGCTTCCCAACAGCCACACCCCCTCAAGAGTTCCCTCCTGCAGCCCTTCGATCCCAGCCATGGCTGCCAATTCCAAAAATAAAAATAAAAATAAATTATAATCTAATCCCTCAATCTAGCCTTCAAGACTTTATGACCTGCTCCCACCCCCAATTCCCATCTAACCCAAATGTCACACCAACTTCCTTTCCCTCCACGAGCTGCCACCCCCAGGGGACCTCCTTACTGCCCCCTGCCCACTTTCCCCTGTGGGAAACTTATAATGGGTTATACAATTTAGCATTTAAAACTCATTCATTCATTCATTCATTCAGCAAATACTGAGCTCTTCTACCTCAGGTCCCATGCTGGATCCAGGGGAGGGCAAAGAGGAAAAGGATCTGGGCCCTGCCCTCAGGCACTTCATGATATGGTAGAGATTATAGAAAGGAAAACAAATCATAGCAAATGCTTGCACTGTGCTTGCAATGTGCCAGACACTGTTTTAAGCATTTTAATGGCCTCATTTACACTTCATAATACCCTGTGAGGTTGATATTATCCCACTTTTCAGATAAGGAAACTGAGGCACAGAGAAGTTAAGTACCATGTTATCCACCTAGCTAGGAAGCAGCAGCAGTACAATCTAAATCCTGTTTACAATCTTTCATTTGAATAGATTTGTATTGATTTCACAGAAGAAGGGAGAGGGAGAGAAAGAAACATTAACGATGAGAGAGAATCATTGATTGGCTGCCTCCTGCATGCCTCACACTGGGGAATCAAGCTCAAAACCTGGGCTTATGCCTTGACCAGGAATCGAACTGTGACCTGCTGGTTCATGGGTTGACACTCAACCACTGAGCCACACCGGCCAGGCCTCTTTCCAATCTTTTTTTTTTTTTTTTCCACAGAGAGAAAGGAAGAGGAATAGAGAGCTAGAAATGTCAATGAGAGAGAAACATCGACCAGCTGCTTCCTGCACACCCTCCACTGGGGATGTGCCTGCAACCAATGTACATGCCCTTGACCGGAATCAAACCTGGGACCTTTCAGTCTGCAGACCGATGCTCTATCCACTTAGCCAAACCGGTTTCGGCCCTATTTCCAATCTTAACCATTACTCTACACTGCTCTTTGCAAGATAAGATGGCAAGTGCTATTAATCATTTCATAATTATATGCTATCATTTTTTTTGTTAAATATTTTATTGATTTATTACAGAGAGGGAGGGAGAGGAATAGAGAGTTAGAAACATCGATGAGAGAGAAACATCCATTAGCTGCCTCCTGCACACACCCCACTGGGGATGTGCCCACAAAAAGGTACATGCCCTTGACCAGAATCGAATCCGGGACCCTTCAGTCCGCAAGCCAGCGCTCTCTCCACTGATCCAAACTGGTTAGGGCTATGCTATCGTTTTTTTAGTAGTATTTATCTGTACCAGTTCCTTTCGTCAGGTTATCATTCATAATTCAGCATCTCATTCACTAAATCCAACATCTATTAAAAAACCTGCACCTGCCAGACAACTCCCCTCCATCAAACAAGTTCCTTCCAACAAGCTTACTGAACTCAGCAGCCAAGTTTTCTGTGCATCACTCATCAGATTTATCACTACTACATTTGCATCAGATTTTATTACAACTCCTCTTGCACTGCAAGAGGCAAGGAGACCTGGGCAGGAAGAGCATTCATGGTCTCTACCACCAGCAAATGGTCCTCGCCCCCCCACCCCCCCAGCCTAATTTGCATCTGTAATCTCCTCCCACAGGACACTTCTGGAGCCGCTTTGGTCTAGAGCACATGTGTCAAACACAAGGCCCGAGGGCCAAATCCGTCCCGCCAGGCCTTGCAATGTGGCCCGCACCGCGCTGTCATCACTGCACTCCGCTGCGTTTCCATCACAATGACAGTTTATGACTGTTCAGTAAACCATTTGGCCCGCGATTTAGGCTGGATTTTAGATTTTGGCCCCTTCTCTGATTGAGTTCGACACCCCTAGTCTAGAGCCTTTCCTGGTCCAGTGGGGAGACAGGTGTGAAAGAAGTCACTACCGCACGAGAGATGCTAAACAGGGGAGCCCAGGACTCTCCCACTTCCTGTTCCCCAAACAGAACGGGTTTGGGAAGCAGACCTTGCTGATGGACTAATATCTGGCACCACTGCCATCCCCAACATGAAAACCCCTGTCCTGCCTTGCTGGTTGGGGAACCCTTATTAGACCTTCTCCTCCTCAAGAGAGTGGGCTACCACCTCAGCAATCTGGCCTCCATCATTGTCTGCAACTTTTTCCTCCCAACTCAGGGAGCCAAAAGGGCCTCTGAAAGCGTCTCCTGCGGCTCCTTTGTGAGGAAACAAGAGCCCAGAGGCAGGGAGGACTTTCCCAGAGTTGCCCAATCCAGCCAGGGTTCCGTCCCACTACAAGGGCAAAGACCAGGGCAGGCTGACATGCTACGGTGGCCTCGTTCCTGGGTCTCTGTGATCCCTTAGGTCAGTCAAATGCTCCCTACCCCACGTGTAGAACTCCCCAAGGCATCGCAGAATAGTGAAGGCTCTGAGAAGTCTGCAGGAAAGAAGCCTGCTTCCTTCTGTTATTGAACCAAGCTTATGTGGCCAACAATTCCTTTCTCAGGAATAATCAATATATATATAATATAAATAATAGAGACGTATGCTAATTAACCGAGACACCATAATAGGTCAGCCGGACAGGAGGAGGTTGCGTGCTCAGCGGCAGGGGTGGGGGGGCTGGGGCCTCCGCACCTGCCTGGGGGAGGGAGGGCCTGATCAGCAGCAGCCGCGGCTGCTTCAAGGGCCAAAGAGGGAGGCAGATCGACTCAAGGGTGGGTGGCGCCTTGCGATTTCGAATCCTAATAATATTACAAAGCTAGCTGAAATGTGATAAGTGTTGCAATTAATTCTCATAACTAGGCTGTGAGGTAAGTAGTGGTATGCCATTTTGTTGTTCAGGATAGTGAAACTCAGAGGTTAGCTTCTTGCCCTAGGTTACACAGGGACACACAGAGAGAGGCGGAGCCAGGACTGGACCCAGCTCTCCTCTCAGCCACTCAGCTGCCGCCCCGCTCCTGTCACCCCGCTCTGCATCCCACAGAACCACTTTGGAAAACACTGGTCTACAGCGGGCCACCAAGTCCTTTCCTGTACATTATTCTCTTGGGCTTCTAGCAGCTGTCTCCCATCCAGGGACCTGTCTCCCCCCGTTAGCAGCTACCCACTGGCTCTGCACCAGGGAAGCCCTGGCTCCTAGCCACCTCCTCCTTCACAGCCTTCCCCTCCCCCCAGGCACAGTGGGCCCTACACACAGAACCCAGAGGCCACACACTGAGATGGCAGAGGTCCTGCCGCCCTACCTCCTCCAGAGCTCAGCCGGAGGTGAGGGGGGTACTCCCTCAGGGCAATCTCTGAGGCGTGCCCACCAGGCTGCCAGGACCCACCTAGTCCAGACCTCCTGTCACTGCTTACCTAGGGGCTTCTCTAGAGTCTGGGGTGGATGACGTCTGTGGGACTAGGCAAATTCACCAGATGCCAAACACTGGGTGGCACTTCCCACAGGTCAGGATCACTAGGGGCGGGGTTTCAAGGGACTGGAGGTGTCTTGTGTGATGTCACTAGAGGGTGGGGCTAAAAACAACCTCCACTCCTCTCCCCTCCCCCCATCACCACTCCCACACTGGCCAAATCCAGGCTAACCTCGGCCCTCCTGGATGGACCTAAGCTGCAGGAGGAAACTTATCACTAACCTCCGCATGAAACATCCCAGAAAACCAAAAGCTGGCTGAAAAGCTGTGACTTACCCAAGACCACTCAGCAAGGCAGGCAAAGTTGGGCTGAGACCAGGTGTCCAGGACCTGGTTGATGGATATCAGACCAACTTGACTGGCTCTCGTCCCTTATCCTATATAATTAAAGGCTAATATGCAAATTGACCAAAAGGCAGAATGCTATGACACACACTGACCACCAGGGGGCAGACACTCAATCCAGGAGCTGTCTCCTGGTGGTCAGTCACTCCCACAATGGGAGCACTGCTCAGCCAGAAGCAGGGTTCAGGCTGGTGAGCACAGTGGCAGTGGTGGGAGCCTCTCCGGTCTCCACAGCAGTGCTAAGGATGTCCGACTGCTGGGGGCCTAAGCCATCAGTCGGACATCCCCTGAGGGCTCTCAGGGGGTGAGAGGGTGCAGGCCAGGCTGAGGGACCCCTCACTCCGAGTGCACCAATTTCAAGTACAGGGACTCTAGTTCAGAATAAAAGGAAGTTAGGAGTAAAAAGCAGATGCTATAAAGGCTCGTGAATGGACTTCAGACTCAGACAAACCAAGTTTGGCTCCTGATTCCACAACATAGTAACTGTGAGACCCAAGACAAGCGATTTACCTTCTCTGATCCTTAGCTCCCTCATGGCAATTATAATATCTACCTTGTAGGTTGCTGGAAAAATTAAATTTATTAGAACAAAGTTTTAGCACATTTTAGGAACTCAGTAAATAACTGCTATTGTTATTAATTATTAATAGTAATAGTAATTAATTATTATTAATAGCAGTTGCAGGCTCTGTCTTTCCCTCTCTCTCCCACTCTCTCTAAAAATCAATGGAAAAATATCCCTGCGCAAAGATTGATAAAACAAAAAACTCAGTCCTCTTTTAACTCTCAATCGCTGGTCCCACTGGATTTGGGTCCTTTAGAAAGATAACTGTGTCTCTTTAAATGTTTACCTTTCTCTGAGGGTGCACTTAGAGACAGGGAAATTTGGCTAGAGTTTGGACTTCTGGGACACTGACCTTATTAAATAAATTGTTCTCAGCAAAGACCCTATAGAGTAGGGGTGTCGAACTCAATCAGAGAAGGGGCCAAAATCTAAAATCCAGCCTAAATCGCGGGCCGAATGGTTTACTGAACAGTCATAAACTGTCATTGTGATGGAAACGCAGCGGAGTGCAGTGATGACAGCGCGGTGCGGGCCACATTGCAAGGCCTGGCGGGACGGATTTGGCCCTCGGGCCTTGTGTTTGACACATGTGCTATAGAGCAGCGTTTTTCAACCGCTGTTCCGCGGCACACTAGTGTGCCGTGAGATGTTGCCTGGTGTGCCGTAGGTGCAGACAAGACAAGAATTTTATAATTTTTCACTATTTTGTTTACTTAATATTTCATAATAAAGTAATTATAAAATACTTTCTTTGTGTTTATTTGATTCCTATTCAAGAGAATTACTTTATATATAGTCAATATAGGCACAGAGTTAAATTTTTTAACATTTTCTAATGGTGGTGTGCCTCGTGATTTTTTTCATGAAACAAGTGTGCCTTTGCCCAAAAAAGGTTGAAAAACACTGCTATAGAGGAACCCCTCCGGATTCACAGAGGCCTGAAGACTTACACGTGGCCCACAGGCCCAGGAGGGGAGGCTGGGAAGTGTGGCCCCAGGGAAGGGCTGCAGCCCGCAGCCCCGCAGCCTCACGGCCCCATCCCTGAACAAGTAGGGCAGAGAGCCAAGGAGGGAAACCGTGCTGGCAGGGAATCCAAAGGCATGTGGCCTGGCTGGGCATGTCTTACAAGTTTGGGAGGCTTTCAGGTTGGCAGAGCCTCAGAACTGAAATCTCGGGGCCCTAGTGCAGTTCCTGTCAGTCTGAGCAGCTCCTTCTACCTCTCCCCTCCCACCTCCCCAGCCCTCCCGATTCCCATTCCCCTTTTCCTAAACTGAAGGTCCATCTTCCCGCCTTGATCCCCAACCAAGGCTCACCACCCTCTGTTCCTTGGGGTCTCCCCACCAGATATACCATCAAAGGGCTCCTTAAGGCCCCTGGGGGCAAAGCAGAGGACCGGGTTGTGGGAAGGGGTCCGTAAAGGAGCTTTGGAGTGGGGGAGCACCAGCTTACACCCATCCCACCGGTTTTACTCGGTGCCTGCTTCACGCCAGGCACAAGGACCACTGCCAGGGCTGGAGCATATGGTGAATGAAGCAGACAGCAGCCTGCCTGGCAAACCAAACAAACCAAATGCCCGAGGGCCTCGGCAAACCCAGCCCGGACAGAAGCCACCCAGCTGGCGCCAGGGAGCACCGCTGCCCGAGGGAGGGCATCCACCACTCACCTGAGCGGACTAGTTCAGAAGCCAGGCCCCCATTTTCACGTGAAAATTGCGTTTCAAGACTGGAGCTTAGCAGCTGTGCGACTTGCCTCTCTGAGCCTGCTTTCCTCCTTTATAACCAGAGACTAACAATTAGCCACCTCAGGGCTCTTGCAAAAGCAAGAGAGCAAAACAGTCCCGGCTGCTGGGTGTTGGCTCTGGCACAGCCTCGGCTCCCGTTTCTGTTGGGTGCTGCTCCCGGCTCGGCCACACGGTCCCTGTGTGATCTTGGACTAGTCCATTCCCCTCTGGGCTCTTTCTCTCCAAATGTCAAGGAGAGTGACTTCACCAGGAACTTCAAAGGGCCCTTCGGTCCCTGAGACATACCAGCATTTGTGTGCCAGGCCTGAAGCTTCCACATGAACAAAGCAGTTAAAATACCACCACCCTCTTCGAATAATAGCCCAGCTAATTAACAGTGAAGGGTAACGCCTAAGGATATTCATTTCTGAACCTTTTGGAGTTTAATAGCCTACCTAAAAACAAAACAAAACAGCTATTCATAAATATTATTTGGTTATCATCCCACTTCCTCTTTGCCTGGTATGTAAAATGCAGTTGGCTGTGCAGGTCCATTTATACATGGGCTTCTTATAAATAAATAAGTACAGTACATACATGTATTTTCCTTACAGTACATACATGTATTTTCCTTTTCTTAATAACATTTTGTTTCTCTAGCTTGTTATTATGAGAATACAGTATATAATACATATAACATGTAAAACACATGCTAATCAACTATCTATGTTATTGGTAAAGCTTCCTGTCAACAGTAGGCTATTTGTCGTTAAGTTTTTTTTGGGGGGGGATCAAAAGTTTATAAGCAGATTTTTGACTGGGGGTAGGAAGCACCCCAACCCCTTCCTTATTCAAGGTTCAAAGGCATTGCTGCTTTTCTGGGCTCTGATGGTTCAGCACGCTCCCTTAAAGACCACCTGATGTTGCCACGGGAAGCAAAGTTCACTCGCATGACGTACAAATAGCAGGAAGGCCAGACCTGAATTCACACTGGGGCTGTCAGAGGTGAACTCTCGGAGGGACACTGCCACGGATGACACGGTTTGACACAGCCCGGAACGTTAATAAGGTTAGGCACCAGCATTAATAATTTACAGTCACTTGCTGTTTACAACCCTTTCGACCTGCAGCCTAAGCCGGTGTCACCGCCCGTCCATCCGACTCTGAGCCAGCTCTCCTGCCCTCCTCTGCGGCCAACTCCCAGGCAGCCCGTGGGTGGCCACAGGTTATACCAGCCAAGCCTTCATCCCCGGCTGGCGGCAACTGGGTCACCCGCCTAAAGGCAAACCAGTTCCCCAACTCAGCCCAGCACTTTTAAAGAAACTATCTTCCCAAACTGAACAGAAACCATTTTTGGTTTTTGGTAACTGCACTTGGGCCTCCGTTTGTACTGAACAAAGTAATCAGAATGAAAGAAATAACTTCAGGGAGCCCTGGCCGGTTTGGCTCGGTAGATAGAGCTGCCTGCGGACTCAAGGGTCCCAGGTCCTATTCCGGTCAAGGGCGTGTGCAGGAGGCAGCTGATGGATGTTTCTCTCTCACTGATGTTTCTAACTCTCTGTCCTCCCATCCTCTCTGTAAAAAAATCAAATATATATAATTTTTAAATAAATAACTTCAGGGAATTCTGGAGCTCTGAGCACAGGGAAGAGCCTGAAGGAAAGCAGAGCCAGAGAGGGAGGGTAAGCTGGTACAGCCTCTCGGCAGAGACAGAATCAGCCCGGGTTCCACCGCTGACAGCCAGAAGCCCCCGCGCAGGGGACGGAGCCGGAGGGGCAGTCCTTCCCCACGGGCCCAGAGGCGCCCCAAGCCCCTCGACACCCCTCAGAAAGCGTCAGGGCCACCCCCACCCCCACCCCACCCCCAGGTGCAGCCAGGCCCCGAGAATCCATCCAACTCACACTCCCCGCTGGGCCTGGCCGGGCCATCGGGCCGGAAACTTCTGGTCCCCAAGCCTGCGGGCTCCAGGCGAACCCTGAGGGCGGTGTGAGCCCATCTTCCCCTCCCGCCCTGGGTGCGGGAGTCCCCCCGCAAACACACACACACACACACACACACACACACACACACACACACACACACGCTCCTCACACCGGGGCTTCCCATCGCCAGCGGCTCAGGCTCCGCGGGAGCAAACCGCTCCCCGCCCCGCGGAGCCCGCACTTTCCCCGCTGACACCCTCCCGCCCGGCCGGCCCCCGGGTTCCCCCGGAGGAAGCAGCGCCTCCGGCCGCCCCTCCGCCCGGTCCCCGCGCTGCTGCCCTCCCGCCTCCTGCCGCCCCCGCCCCGCAGGGAGCCCTCGGCGGCTTCCCGGGCGGCCCTGCCCCTCGCCCTCCCCGGGACCCCCGCCCGCAGCTCACACTCGGCCCCGCGCCCCGCGCCCCGCGCCCCGGGCCGGTACCTGGGCGGGCGGAGGGAGCGGGAGGCGTCCGGGCCGAGCGCGCAGATAAAGGGGCGGCCCCACCCCGAGCCGGAGGAGGCCGGCGGCCGGAGCAGCGGGGCCTCGGCCTCCGCCCGGCCTCCGTCCGCCGAGGCCTGGGCGACTGCCAGCTCACTCCGCCCCCTCTCCCTCCCCTCCCCCCACCGTCCTCCCTCTCCTCTTCTCCACCCCCCTCCCTCCGCGTCCACTTGTTGCGCGCGGAGGCGGAAGGGTCACTCCTGCGGTCGCGGTGCAGATGGGGAAACGGAGGCCCGAGTCCCAGGCTCAGCCCGGGCACCGCGGAAGCTCTCACTGAGCGGCTCCCGCCGGCGGCGGCCTTGAACCCCCAGCTCTGGAGCCTGGGCCTTCCTGTTGGCTTGGTCCGGAGGGAGCCGGTTGTAGCAGGAGCAGGACCGGTTCCCAGCTAGAGCTCAGGAAAGCCCACACACCCCAGCCCCCCTTCACTGCTGCTGGAGCCAGTCTGGCCGTCCCCATCCTCCTGTGTGCTGTGGGGAGAGGGGGTTCGTCACCCCTGCACCCCTGCCTTACTCAGGTGCCCACCTAAAGCCCGTCCTTGGGCAGCGTCTCTGGATCTGCCCAACCCCAGCACTTCGTTGAGCTGTATTAACACGCCCACAAATGCTCCCTAGTGTCAGTGTCCATCTCCCCGAAGGGGGAGCACCAGAGGGTGAGGGACCCCTGCACATAGTAGGCCCTCAGTAAATGGCCATTAACTGGAGATATTGTTCACTCCTCAGGTGTGCAAAGACTTGGACCAGGCAGAGTGGGGAGACACCCACTCCATCTTGGGAGCACACAGCCAAGTCCTTGCCCTACTCCGAACTCGCCAGTGACCTTGGGCAAGTTTGTTCTCTCGGGGCCTCACTTTTATTACCTGTAAAATGGAGACAGCACTGCCCTGGCCTGGCCGGGCTCAGCTGGTTCCAGTGTCCTCCTTGTGAGGAGAGGCTGCGGGTTCCATTCACAGTGCACACACCTCGGTTGCAGGTTTGTTCTCTGGTTAGGGTGCATACAGCAGGCAGCCAATCAATGTTTCTCTTTTCTCTCTTCTCTTCTCCCCCCCCCCCTTTTCTCTCTCTCTCTCTCTCTCTCTCTCTCTCTCTCTCTCTCTCTCTCTCTCTCGTTCTCTGTCTCTCTCTCTTTCTCTCTCCCTCTCTCTCTCCCTCTCTCTCCCTCTCTTTCTCTCTTTTTTCCTCTCTTGGAAAATCAAATTTTAAAAAAACATATCCTCAGGGGAGGGTTTTAAAAAAAGAAAAAAAAGAAAGAAAAACACTGGAGATAATACCAACCTACTGGGTTGTTAAGAGGATTAAATAAAAAATGGATTCTTTGTCAACTGCAATGTACTGGAGGAATGTATATTTCTTACTATAATAAAATGTATATAATTATGATAGGATGAAACCAGTCTCTGATTCAACAGGTTAGACAAACCCATAGAAATTAGTTAAATCTCCATTACTCGCGGGGATAGGAAAGGTGTCATAGAAAATGTAATCATTTAGAAAAGGTAGGGTATAGAAAATTAAAACAAGGAAGGACATGATGGAGATTGTATGCTCTACGATGGAATATATTCTATCATAGTGAATAATATTTTAAAATGTGGAAGGTTACTTGGATTCAGCTTCCATTTTTGGAATACCTGCTTTGTACTCGGCTTAATTTTATATTTTTTATTTTTTAAAATATATTTTATTGGTTTTTTACAGAGAGGAAGGGAGAGGGAGTGAGAGCCAGAAATGTCGATGAGAGAGAAACATCGACCAGCTGCCTCCTGCACACCCCCTTCCGGGAATGCGCCCTCAACCAATGCACATGCCCCTGACCGGAATCGAACCCGGGACCTTTCAGTCCGCAGACTGACGTTCTACCACTGAGCCAAACCGGTTTCGGCAATTTTATATTTTTAAAAAATGTATTTTCATTGATTTCAGAGAGGGAGAGAGAGCAACAGAAACATCAATGATGAGAGAGAATCATTGATTGGCTGCCTCCTGCACACCCCCACTAGGGGTGGAGCCCCCAACCCAGATCTGATTGGTCACTGCTATATCCCCAGGACTATAATAGAACAGTAGGTGCTCAACAGAGATCAATGGAACAGAGATCAATAGAGGGGAAAAAGGGAGGGAGGGAGGGACACAAAGATGTCTTTATCTGTGGAGCAGGCCTAGGCATGGGACGCAAAATCTTTGAATCGTCTGAAGTTGTCAGAGTACTGAAACTTTCACGACTTACAGTGATTGGGAACTTTTTTTTTTTTTAACCTGAGCTTGTCCAGTAGAGTGATGGGACCTGCTCCAGGTTTTAACGCAGGGACAAGAGGACCCAACCTGCAGAAAGTGTCTACACAGGCCGCGGGGGTCAAAGGCAAAGCTGTTTTCCTTGCTACGACAGTCACACGTCCCCCTTGTTCCATCTGCTGGGACCACATGCACATGTATGTATGCTCGCTCCCCTTTCCTTTGCATAAACGTAGTTACCATTCAGATTTGCTGCCTTCCTTTTCTATTTAACTACTCTTGAGGTCATTCTTGTGTACATAGGAAAGGCTTCCTCATTCCCATTTATGGCTGAATAGTTTCCACTGTATGTATAGGTCATAATTTACTTAACCAATCTCCTGTTTATGAACATCTAAATAGTTTCCAGCTTTTTGCGTATAAACAATGCTGCGGTGAGTAACCTCCCATTCACCTGCATCGTTTTGCCCGGGTGCAAGGACATTTGTAAGATGCGGTCCTCGCCAGGCCCACGGGAGAACTGGGAGATATTGCTTCACCTTGGGCTAGCTGGTAGTTTACACTCCCCCCAGCACTGTATAAAAAGTGCCTCTTCCCCAGCCTTTTGGGCTCTGCTGATTTGCTAGGTGAAAAATGGAATCTTGGTTTTCTTTTACTTCACTTTTTAAAAAAATATTTTATTGATTTTTTTACAGAGAGGTAGAGTTAGAAACATTGATGAGAGAAAAATATCCATCAGCTGCCTCCTGCACACCCCCTACTGAGGATGTGCCCGCAAC